TATTCTTACACAATCAGTTCTTGTTTAGTAAATCAGTCTCAAAACAAGATCAAAAAGACGTTTTGGCTGGATATAAAATCTTAAAACTTGGTTAAGTGGACATTTTTTTGCAGTGTATATGTTTTTATATATTACAAACTCCCTCCTTGTCTTGGCTGCATGTTGGATTCTGGCTCTTTTACTTAAACAAATTATAAATTTCCCATGTATTTTCTGCCAATGCCATACATCTTAATTTGTAGTTGCTATTGACACTTGTTTTGAGCTTCTATCCCAGGTGCCCAGGATAAAATTTGTCAACCAAGGGGCAGTTTTGCAACAAAGAAAAAATATCTAACTGGTAAAATACAGGTATGTTTTTAGTTTAAAATGCTTCAATAGTTAGGATTTCATGTTCTACCTAAACATACTGACACCCAGTGCAAAACCAGCCTGAAACTACGACTGCCCAGTAATCAATGAGTACAGTATCTTTATCATTGAAACAGCTCCAACCAAAAATGATCCTAAAATGAGTGTCACAAACACATAAGAACTCATTTTGACCCTTGAAGTTTTGAGGTCAGCTCTTTGAAGATGATTCAAACTAAAATCTGTTTAGAGGTTTTGAAACTCTTTGATGTGCTCTTTGAACCAGGAGCATTTGCACAGCAGAAATGTTTAGGCAGATGACAGGTGTCCAAGCAATGCCTGTCTGTTTGAGTCCTGATGTTCAGATCAGTAGAGACAGACCTGTCCTGCATAGTGGCAGACAGTGAAGGCCGGGCCTTGGTCTTTGGGTGGGGGGTTGCCATTGCCGTCCTTGGTGGTGAGAGAGAGCTCATGAATGGGACTCGAGTCCAGCTGGGTGGACAGTCTCTTGTAAAATGTTTGCTCTGCAGGCCGCAGGCTCTGACTCTCCTCGTCCAACACACACAGCAGTCCCTGAGGCTTCTGCAGCAACAACAAGCACATGTTCATGTGTTATTTATGTTGGTCATATTTACACAAAGCATATTTGATCCCAGTATTTCATTATTCCTTGTGACTCTTCTATTGATCTCCCAGACTGGAGCTCTCTCTCTCCCATGTAAAGTAGATTTAGACAGGTTTCTGTTTCATATGTTTTCAGTCGATACTTATGTTCATATTAACAGAAAAAGTCATCTGCATGTTGGGTCAGGAGCATAAAATTACCTTGTCATTTTCAAACCAAGAACATATTGTTTCATATCATTTTTTATCTTAAAAAAATTCAACTAAAGCATTTTTTTTGTTTTTGTAGAAACATCCCCTCTAGAGTTTGACCATGTGACCTTAAAGCTTTTGTCAAATCACAGAGCAGGTTTACAACACCAAATCCTATCAAGTGAGACCAAACCTGACCGGACTGGTAAAAAACCAGAGTCAGAAGTCCTACCTGAAGAAAGTAATCCAGAACAGCGCTTTGGCTGTTGTGGGAATGGGTCGTTTCCATGGCGATGCCCTCCTGCAGACACTCGGTCTGCTCGTGCTGGAAGAGCACCTCGGAGACGTACCGCCGGAGCCGTTCGTTGATCATGTTTACGCACAGCTGGAATACACACACACACATCACACTGTGTAGTTCTGCAAAGACACACTCCTGAATGTCTTTAAAGCAAACAAAGGCACAAATACAAACTCAAACAGAACCTGCTGTGACAGTCAATGGGGCACGAATAATCTAACTGCTCATGTAATGCAGGAAATGTAAATTTAGCCAATAATGGAGACACTTTGTGGATTTTATACACACTGAAAAAGGCTCCCTGTCACTTATTCCACTCTATTAAGGACAAAGTGAGTAAGTAAAACATTCCTTTTAGTAGGAAAAAGCTTAGGGATGACTTGACGACAATGCAGGGATTTAAACACCAGGGTTAAAGTGGAACAAATAGGTAATAAATTTGATAAGGCTGTTTTAGTTCAAGTTAACAACTTTCCTTTTCTTACTTTGTGCAACAACTTCATATTTATAGCTTTCTGTGGACCTGAGGTGACCCTTTACATGAACACCCATTGAGACATAAAACCAGGAGAGACTCATYGTGCTGATTTTCACTGTTTGGGTTTTTGGTGACGCCGGGTCATGAAAACATGCCTTGAATATTCTAAGCTGTTCAGTGCAGGCACTCTGCCTGGTTTAGTTTCTCTTGAATCCATAGAAGGACATAAAGTAGCATTATAGTGTAGCAGTTTGAAGGTGAGCTCATCACATTAGGGCTCTACAAAGGCTTATCTCTTTTCAACAAAAAGACTAATGTGTCTGTTTTCTGCAGTTGAATAAAGATATCATGTCCTAAACTAAAAAGCCAATAAGGAAAATACAACCCAGTACTGCATGTAAGTATAACCATGAATGCTTGTTTCTGTGTGCATTTTTATGTCTCTTATACTGTATCTCATGAACCACTAAGCAGATTTTTTTTAAAAACAAACTCTTAGAAAGTAAAACTAATCAATGGATGCTCATTTGCAACTGATTACCTTTAGGAGTTAATTTGATTCAAGGGTGCTGTCACAGAGATTAAATTATGTGTGTTAGTAGCTGAGTGTCATCCCAAAACACATACTCTGAGCCCTTACAGATCACACGGGCTGCAGGTGATTCTGTCAAAAAAATCTTTGATGTATTCAGTTCATAAATGCAGGTGATCTTTGTAGTGTGAAGAATGCATATTGTTCATAACCCTTCTTGCCAAAATCTTAAAAAAGTCTTACAAATGTATATATATATATATATATATATTGCTCCATTTTGACGTTTACATTAATGGTAAGAAGATCAGGATAAAGGAAAAGACAAACTTGTTTACAAATCTGTATGTAAAAAGGCTGCTGCATTATTGTTCCCTGACTCAAGATATTTAAAACAGCCCATTTTCAAAAGTGTCCTCCAAAATCTTTGTTTTTCTCATGAAAACAGCCATTAGCATGATGATGAGAGGTGCAAACACAGCAGAAAATATTTATTTTGAAAGAAAAAAAAAGACCCATGAAAGTGTAGTTGAGGGGCTTAGATAAAACAAAATGTGTCGCTTAGAAAAATATACTTTTATCAGCCTTTGGGGTTTCGTGTAAACGATAATTTGCTATGTAATAATCAGTCATTTGTGGGCTGATGTATATTTCTGTTTTGCTCTTAGCAGTGTCATGTAATTGTGGCAAACTGTGTCATGACCCACATTTTGGGTCCCACCCCCCACCGACTGAGACGTAGGTGTGATGTTTCGTGATGTGGGCGGCCATCGTTGTTGTTTCTTTCCTCAGCGCTTGTCTATTGTTTATCTCCCAGCAAGTCTAGCCCATTAAGAGCTTAGTCCCAGCAGGTGGCTGATTGAGTAAGCTCATTAGTAAAGTGCTGAGCAGGTACAACACAACTTGACAAACATGGTTTTAATTAACTAGCTCTAATAACCCTGATCATGCCATGCATGTGTTTGTGTGCATTTTTGTTTATGAGTGTACAAACATGTCAGCGCTTGTCCCTCACTGGTGTGACGCACATGCGCAAATTGTTGGTGGTCCTTGGAAATTGCTATGTGTAGCTTCGGATCTAAAATGTAAACTTCCGGAGATAATTTCGCTGATTTTCTTGTTTTTTCCTGCCATGACCCATCCTTTCTGACTTTTTTTTATGACCTGAACAAGAAAGGTTGCACAACCCTTCATTTCCGCTTCAATTAGAAAACATCCAGATGGGTAGAGCCACTTATCTGTGTCCCGCAGACACAAACATAACAGGCACACAAMCTTCCAAAGGCAAAGACAAACACACACTGCCTTTAGTAAAAGCTGGAGGAAACCAGCAGCTCCATGGGGAGGAAGTGTAAGCTCTGAATAGGAGCTATAAGCACTTATCCACTTGAGTACTGTGAATTACACACAAACGCACACACACACACATGCACACACAAATAAATACAAACTTGTCTGTTGAATCCCTGCTGATGTGATCAAAGATTAGTCTATTAACAGTGAAGGTTTGATGAATGTTGGAAGATTTACAGGCCGTAACAGGTGAGTTGTATCGGTCTACAAGCTGTAAGTTTAGTTCTAATGTTCACACTGCAAAAACTGTCCATCTTACCAGGTTTTAAAAACTTTTATCCAGCCAAAAAGTATTTTTGATCTTGTTTTGAGACTGATTTACAAAACAAGAACTGA